TTTCTAAGAATAACCTCCAAGCACAGAAGTTTCAAATACTATAGTATAAAATGAGAAAATATATTTTTCACTTTAAAAAAAAATTACTTAACAGTAGCTGGTGTACAGCTAGGGCTTGGGCTGAAGATACTAATGAATTTGTAACAACACTTGGCATTCACTGACAATAGATGGTATAAGTCACATTTCTAAGCAAGCCGCGTTAAGGGAAGTAGTGATTCAGCCCAGGACTGTTGGCTTTTTTTGGTTTAACGGATACAGCAGCCTGTCCCTGTTTTAAACCTTAATCACTGCTGCAACTTGAAAGCTTATCCCAAACTTCCTGTGTTAAGGCTCCCCTAACACTCAGCACCTCAGGACACAATTCTGCCACGCCTCTGGCACTTTACAATCTCCAAGTTTAGCCTTTTCCTTTTACAAAGGGAAATACTGGATTTTCAATTGTACAATTTTGGTTTTAGAGTGTCTCTTCATAAGTTAAATTAAGGAGACCTCACAGTTAACATTCCTAGAATTAAGGATAGGAAATAACCAGTCTAGAGCATTCTCCATCCAACTTGTACCAAGCCTACTAGTCAGCAACCACCTTCTGTGGCCTCACTTGCCACAGAAAATGACAGGCAGGCAGATAAGCTCTACTGCGCAAACTTAATTTTCTTCTCTCTCCCGGAAAAATTCTTTTATTTGCTCTTAGTATCTTATTTTTCAAAGAAGACAAGTTTCTAACAATGTTTTAAGGAGGGTGCTCCCATACTATATTTACTAAACTGTATCATCAAATGGGCCTAAGAAACTTTAGCAATATTTTTAGTTAATTTAAACAGGAGGTAACTTTGTGCCCTTACATTTTTTGCAATGTAAGGTTATAAGGAAGGAGATGATGGGAATGACAAATGCTAAAGTGTTAATTCCCCCAAATTTTCAGCAGTCTTAATATAAAATGACATTAAATAAACATGACAAGAGAACTATGTGTATGGACTTCCTGATCACAAGATACTCTGTGCTTAGTTAAGAAAAAGCCTAGAAAACAAAATATAAACAGTCAACTTCATGAATAAACAGTTTAAGACACTAATACTCATTAAGTATCTTAGTAATGCTGAGAAATTACAGTCCAGAAATGTTTCATGCCATAAAAACAAACAACAAAGACTTCTGAAAACATTTTCATTTTTCCTAAGATCAATTTTATGCCTAGATTGCTACGTGCAGCACATCTACTCCGGGACCCAATTCTTACTCTTCTGGCCTTACTGATCTCTATCTTTAAGTGTACAGGGGAGGTAGAAAAGTAAGCAGATTCATATTTTCAGCATTTTCTAAGTCCCTGAACCTAATTTTCTTCTTTAGCAGTTCAGTACTAATAAAGCTCTATTCAAGACCTAAATGGATCCTCTACTGGACAGATACAGAAAGAAAACTTACCCACCCTTAAACACCCCACTTAACTTCGGAGCTGATAGATAGGATTAAGATAGTTTGTTTCCACCTAGCTTTAAGCGATTCTTTGTGGTAAGGATACTTTCCTGTGACTTTGTATAATAGCTCCCTCTAGTGGCTACATGGTTTTCCCTAGCATTTACTCCAATAGGGGAATAGAAAAGAACATGGTAAAATTAACAAGCAAAAAAACAAATACCAAAAAACACCTTAACTAGACATTTGGCAACCCTATCTGCTGTTTTGCTTGTATCTGGTGAAGAGGAGTATATAGCACTCTAGGGAGGCTCTCCATTTCTATTACCATTGATAGTTCTTTCAATAGCAGATAGAGTTCTAAGTCACAAGGCAATGACAGGAGTTAAGTCCTTTGTACTGGAGAGAAAGACAAACACCCAGAATCTGCTGAACTCAAGATCTTAAGTACTGTCCTCTGTCATTCTGTACACCTGAAACAGCAACTCCTTATGCAAAGGCATGCATAAATTCTCTCTCCCTAATAACCCAGCTGAAGGAACTTACTAAAATGTTTAAGAGGTTATTTCTGCCTAAATTAACTTGCATATGAAAAAATTCATTCTATTTACTTTTTTGGGGTACTACAGAAGCACCAAGTGATTTTTTAAATAGAAAAATTTCTCGATTCATACAAAATCACAACCACCTTCAGGTATAGCTTTTAAGTCATCAAGATGCATCCCCAAAGCCCTCAATCACAGGACTAAGTGCTGGTTTAAATGTAACTACAACTTCTTGGGCCTCTACTTAGAACAAATTTTTGTCAGGACTACCATCTATTCAAAAGACAATCAAAATGAACAGAGATTTCCTTATAATCTCATCAGTTCATGCCAATCCCAGCTTCTGCTATAGATTGTATTGACCAATATTCCTGTAAAGTATTGGGGAAAAAAAAATTACCCCCAAAGAACTGAATATATACCACTACATACACTAGGATGGCAGAGTACTTCCTTCAGTGTACAACTGTGAGTCCACTAAGCAACAGAATATAAAGAAATGTGGGTCATACCTTTTTTCTCGTGGCTGCTTCAGCCTAAAAAGATGGGAAACTTAGATCTCCATTAAGAAAGGATCCACACTAACAGGTTTGTTTTCATGCACATGAAGCTTTAGCTCATTATTTCATTAGAGTTCTATAATCTCTTACCCAAACTCAAGGGGGCAGGTGTATTTGAAATTCAGAGCCATTTGCAGTTTATATAATAAAATAAGGTATACAAATAGACTCTGTATCATGTAACACCCCCAGCAATGCCTATGGCAAGTGTGTAATGAAACCTCAGTATTTCTGCAGAAGACCATGTATTCCCAGTTAAGTGCAAAATGAAGGCATCAATTCTGGTCAGGTTTCACATTCAACAAAAAGTTGTTTTCAGATAAGAGATCATGAACAGGTTTTCTGCCTTCGCACTCTTCATACTGGGATGGAACTAAATGAAACCAAAGACTGACTGTTACAACAGAACTTCAGCCTAAGTCTCTTTTTATACTATTTATGGTAAATACACAGAACTTAATTTGTGGTTTCAGTACACTTTCATATACAAAGTGAGAAGAAATGTTAAGAAATTCATCTACACAGAAAACTTGGGAAAAAAAAAAAAAACCACCACACATCAATCCTAACGAGCAAGAAGTTTCAAAGATAAAACTGAGAAAGCTGAAATTCTAGAATCATATTGAACTACACTTAAGTGGACACGGGAGCACTCAATTTATGAAGGTATGAAACTTAGTGGGGACAAACATTTTTAACAAGGAAAATCTGTTCATAGTTATTTTTTAAAAATTATTAAACAAATTTTTAAAAATAAAATTCAGATCCCAAACAATTAGGAATCAGAAAATAGGTTTCTTACCTTTTGTTTCCAGAAGGATGTGGGCTGAACAGCAAGGTGGGTTATTCAATCTGACGTTATGAAAAGTAATTGCTTCTTAAAGTTTTTCCTTGGTTAGAAAATAACAAACTAATTATAGGCTCCCTACACTATTCTAAGGGAACATAAATAGGGAGAGAAAAGGGGAACAATTCAGGGCTACTTTTTTAGTTGCAAAACAGTACAACTTTCTTCTTACAACTGCCAAAATGGGCAGAGGTTTAGGGTTCATTTCCTAAGACTAAAAAACAAAAGTCTGCATCTGCCCTCACAGCTCTGAGCTATCTGGTCCGGTGCCCATCTATCTTCTATAAATATGCAGCCAAGCCCTCTAATCTGCAGACACCCTATTATCAGACAGTACTTTCTATACCTCAATTCTGACGTTTGGACTACTGAAGTTTTTAGCAGAACACAAGCTTTCAACTTAGCCTAAATGCACTCAATCTTCACTGAAGGCAGTTTTTCATCTTGATCTGGTTTCCAACACATTCAATGAACATAGGCTTAAGTTTAGCTTACATTAACCTTTCCAAGATTAGTTTAAAAATACTTATACTCTATACATCAAATACTTTAAATAGTAAAAATCCTTCCACTTCTTGAACATTGTTATTTTGAATTCCTGCACAGAAACTAGTAACTTTCTTAATCTAAACCAAGTTACTTACAAGTGCAGTCTTAGTTTTAAACTTAACATCCCCGCTCTTCCTCCTTACATTCCACAAGGCTCATCTAAATGTTTTGGTTGGGTGTCCTTATGCAAATCCCTTGGGGCCACTTCTTCTATTACCAAGATTATGTCTAGCTTTTCCTAGGTTTCGAATTATGTCACCTGCATAGTGGTCTTAAATTCAGCTTCCAACTCTTATTAGCATCCAAGGCAAATGTTAATATTTAGTTATTTCTTTTGGGTGCAGAAAATGTTTTGATGGTTTTGACTAGCTATGAGGAAATCAAAAGAAAAAGATTAGGGATTTTAAGTAAAAATCTCCTCCCCCAACTCCTTGAAAATTTAGCACCAAGGGGCTATCAAAAAGATACAAGAACGAGCAGACTAAAATATAAATCACTGCTTTGGTATGTTCTGGATACAGAATATTATAGCTGAGAAGGGTTTGCAAGGCACAATTATAAAGAAAGCCCAGCTTCTCATGAACAATAAATAAGCAGTTAAAATTCTAGTGTATTACATTTCAGAAAAAAATGTAATTTGTGTTAAGAGTTCTAATCTGCACTGAATTTAAGATTTAATACTTACCAATTTTTGAGAAAAGCTTGAAAATCTCAAAGGCTATTTCCAAGTTAACATTAACTAGTCACTACCCGATTCTGCACAAAGCCTATGTTGTCTAGATGATCACCAAAAAATAAACATCTATAAATTTAATCATTTTTATCAAAGTATGGGAAGATTATCTTTCAGAAACTAGATCACCCATTTAACATACTATATACACAATTGCCTTATTCTTACCTTATCTCCCCCAAAAGACTTTTATAATTAACAATAAGATGGCTAATTCCATTTATTAGAGATAATCTTTCAAGAACCTTTAATTTACTAACACGTAACAGAATCTTATCAAAGTATTAACTGATAAACTAGTCACCCAGTTAAAATTTTACATGAAGAGGAAAAAGGACAACCATGCATAGTTTTTTAAAAAATGTTTATTTTTTTCAAAGAAAAACGGCAATAGCCAATTGGAAACCTACTTATTCTTCAACTCCAATTTTGTTCTTTAAATTTAGAAGTGACTTACTGATTTACTATTTAAACAAACCCCCCCTTTCCCCTTTAAATGTTTACCATCTACTCGTGCTGAATCCTTCCAAGGAGATTGCTCCAGCGTATTATCTCCAGGTCCTCGCTTTGCTCCTTTTACCAAAAAATGCAAAACACAATTCCATCGTGCATCTTAAGGGCTCCAATCGTCAAAAATAGGAAAAAAAAAAAATCTTTGGAATAGCCAATTAAGTTGAATAAAAAAAAAAAATCCACACGAATGCGGTTTGGTTGGGGCAGGAATCCACTCCTATGTTCCTGGTAATCTGATCCCGCTCCATGAATCCTTGTAATTCATCCTCCCTATCCTATCCACATTATGATTTGAATCCAATGATCCAGCTCCAAGGATTGGGATCCAGTGAGCCCTCTCCAATCCAAACCTTTATAACCAGCAAAACCAAAAAAGAGGAGGCAAAATGTTAGATACTGTAATCAAAAAAGGTTTCTGGGGAATGATGAGTTATGTCTGTCATCAGTTTAACAGATGTACATCAATAACTATCAAATTCCCCAAAACAAGTTTCTGAATGGTGTTCAGATAAATTTTAGAAACTTAATTATCATAGAGACTAATCGGAAGAAGCATTTTATATTTACAGTTCAACTGATAATGCCAACACTTGTTACTGTACAGCGTATTACAGGTTTTGTGGTTGCAAAAAGTTATGTAGTTGAAAAGTTTACTGGTATTGCTACCCACCCTAAGTCTAAACTAAACCTAATGCTCCCATCTGCAATTTAATTTGTAAATTAAAGTGTTTTAAACATGAGTCAATTATGAATATTAGTTTAAAAGGGGGAAGGTGAGACTTAAAAGTATTCCCAACTAGATTATCTACACCAATACATTGGAATTCTATTTTGCTTTCATTTTGTCTTAAAAAAATGAAATAGCAACGCTATATCAGTCACACAGAGGACATGCAGATTTAGCAGTATTGATATTATACTCTATCTGGTTGGAATTAAAGACACCCTGTACCCACATGTACACCAACAGCAGGTCACACATTAACAGTTGTAACTAAGCACTGTGACAAATTAGCCAGTTCTTCCCACATTAGTCCCTATTAAAACAAAAAAGGGGGGAAGGGAGCAAAATAAACTGTTACAAAATGGGCAATATAATTTTGCCACAATTGCCAAGGTTTAAAGAGCAAAGCAATTGTAGCTAAAGATAACTGCATAAGATGTTTGCAAGTGTTTTAAGGTAGATGTATATATATAATATAATCATTTTCAACCCTTGCCTTTTAGTATAAGGTCAATACTGCCAATTTCATCTGTGACAATAGCACTTGGAGTCATACCATTGCCTCCATTATTGATCTGATCCTCCTCAATCCTCCTTTTGACAATCCTAAAATGATTGAAATGTGCTCCACAATCCTTAATCCAAAGCATTCTTAATCCATCTCTTCAGATATGTCTACAGAAAGACACATGAAAAGCAAGATAAACATAAGAACTTCCCCAGGTAAGATAACCACAAACACCCCCAACATCCCAGTTCACACAAACCAGAGCAGAATAGACATTTACACAATATCACAGTCTGAAGAGCATGGAGAGAGTTAACTAAATTTAAACAATCCTGTCTATGACATCACTTAAAATACAATTTATCAGACATGAGGGGAATGTGGATGTTAGGAGCAAGGGGATATTACACAAGAATGCAATTCAACACTTTAGCCCATTCTGAACAAAACAGTTTGAATTAAAAAATGAAAAGATTGTACTGAGTAAAGGAAAACTGTATACAACATGGGTTCTACAAAAAGTGTCACCAATCATCTTATGTACGAGAGCGAGATCTGCTATGACGGGGAGAATAGCGTGGTGATCCTCTGCTTCTCCTTGGGGAGTAACTGCGACTCCTGCTGTTGCTTCTGCTACGGCTTCTGCTACGACTACGGCTTCGAGAGCGTGATCTTCCATAACTTGGACTTCTGGGCCCATCAACTTTAACCCGGATGTAGGCAGTTTCTCCCTATTGAATAGACAGAACTTTCGATTGAAAGATCTAAGCTTTCACCTGTCTTCAGGCATGCTGAACGAATACAATGTAACTAAAACCAGGAATCTGGTACTTTACTTGGACACCCTTGCCTGAATCTTACCTTCAAATTCCACTGTTTAGACCACTGTATCCAATTCTGGCCAAAGAAAAGAGTAAATGTAAAACCTACCTCATGAGATCTAAACTTAGTGTTATCCAGTTTTCGAACTGCATAGGTCATATCTTCTTTCCGTACAAACTCCACGACACCAGTGCCATCTCGGTAAACATCAGCATAACATACATCACCTGCTTCACGCATGTGATCCTTTAAATCCTGCCAGCTTCCACTTGGAGGCAGTCCTAAAAAAGTATTTTTTCAATACCAATCACCCTACATTTCACATTAAACATAAATTTACACTAGAACAAGGACTACTTTAAAATAAATGATTAGTTCACGGTCCTAGGTAAAGAGCAGTTCATTAAAATCCTGGAATCCGAAGTCCAAAATTATCTGTCAAAATCTTCATATTCTAGGTATCCAACCTAATGGTAAATTAAGTCAGTAGTATATTGGAGTTATCTCCACTACAGTAATCTTCGTTTACTAAATTCACCCAAGAAACTTAAGTAACTTACGACGTACCACAAAAACTTGAATTGGTCAAAACTGGTCACTCAAGGAGAAACTTAAAAGTGGTTCCTGTCCCTTCTCAACACCCCTCACGAACAATAAACTCACCGGAGACAACCACTCTGTTTTCAGAACGCCTGGACGGGGGGCCATAGCGGCCTCGGGGAGCCCCGCCACCTCCACCCCCGCCGCCGCCTCGGCCTGTACCACGGCCGCTTCGAGGAAACTCCACCCGCAGACGGTATCCATCGTAATCATAGCCGTCGCGACCATACACCGCGTCTTCCGCGTCTCTGCGTGATCACAGAAAGCAAGAGGTTTAAGAATAAGGCCCGGGAGGGGCAGCTAACTCAGTCAGGAACTAGCGGCCCCCGCACATGCGCACCCAGCGTGGAAGAGCCCACATGCGCTGCATAATAGGAATGGCCCCTCCCCCACCCAGAAGCACGCCAGGCTCCCGACCACTACACCAGCCCTCGGCGCCTCAGTTTCCCGCTCCGAGACGGGGAATCTGCTGGGGACGTCCGTGGGCCCAGCCACCAGAAAAAACACCGCGACTAGGCTCCTTACTCGGTTCCTGCATGGACGATATCGTCTTACCCCCAACCTAAGAGCCCACCTCCCCATTCTCTGTATCGAGGCCTTCCCCAACTACTTCAACTTATTGCCTCAAGGCGGCAAGCCCCGGGCCGCTCACCGAGGGTCCTCGAACTCAACGAAGGCAAAGGGCGGTCCTCCGCGGCGATTCTTGAGATCGATGTCGCGGATAGCACCGTATTTGTAGAACACGTCCTCAATGTCCTTGGTTCGGATGTCTGGAGGTAAGTTACCCACGTAGATGCGGCAATCGTTGTTCCCTGCCGGGCCACGAATCACACCACCTCCCGACATGGCGGCGACGAAAAGCGCGGACTTGAGCACAGGCCTTCCCACCAAGCCTAGCGCACGGCAGAGCAAGCCCGCAGCGACACCACGTCTCCCGCGGCCTGTCCAAAATGGCGCCTTTATCAGCTCGGCGCACGGATATGGGGGGAGGGAGGAAGAGAAGCGGGAGGAAGCAGCTATTTGATCTCAGTACGCACGCGCAAGAGCGTAACGGGTGCCGCGAAAGGTACGCTCACGCATGCGCGACGTCACCCTCCGCGCGAAGGGAGAAAAAAGTTCCTCGCGTTCCCGATTGGCAGAGTGGTTTGCAAGTGAATTGACTAGCCTTTTGGTAAAAATTAAACACCGATTCCTCCTTAGAGGGGTTACTAATCCCTGACGAGCCTTAAAAGATAGTTTTTCCGGGAATGAGTCTCTTTTTAAAAATAAAAACGAGTCCGCGCCTTGAATGCATTGGGTGAAACCTACCCTTGAGTCTTGTCCCACAATGCTCTGCGGTGTTAACGGCCTTTGGCGGGAAAGCCTGCTGAGGGCGGAGCTAAGGGGGGGAGGGACCTGGTGGTTGCTCCGGAAACGCGGACATCCTCAGAGAGTGGGGCTGGTTTGGGAACTCCGATGCTTGGGATTCAATCTCGAGCCGAGACGTGACTTTGTCTTCCTGCCCTTTCTCCTCCGCACAGGCGGCGGTTTGCTTAGACAAGTGTCTAATTTAGAGCAACCCAGCTTAGATGACTTAGTAAATACTCTGCGCTAAGTACCGTTCTGCTGTGGGTTCAAAACGTAACTTTGTGTAGCTCACTTGAGCACACCTTGTTCTAGTGGCAGTGGTTCGAACCCTGAGAAGTTAACCAGGACTCAGACCGCAGCCTCTCTTTAATCGCCTACGGGTTGGGCCTAGCGCAGAGGAGAGGTCCGGTGAAGGTTTGAAGAGTGAATTGTGCCTGTTGCCTGTCCAGCCCATTCAAACATCAAGAAAAAGCATGTGTGTGTGTTTGCAGAATCCTGAAGTTCGTTCCTCTTTCTGAACTCACCCCCGGACCTCTCAGGTAGTATATAGACAAAATGTATATAGAGCAAAATGGATGTGTGAGAACTGTGACCCTCGGAGACCACAGTTACTGCTCAGGACTGATCCCACTTGCATGCTGGCCCAGAGAGATAAGAACTTGTTACATTTTTTTTTTTTTCCCCGAGACATCTGAAATCTGGATTTTTATGTGAAATGTTGGGATTTTTAAATATTAGTAATGAATTCCATTTTTAAGAAAACCCTGCCGTCATATATATGCTAAAACATCTGCACCCTGAGTTTAAGGGGGATTTTTTTCATACTATGTATTTTCAATAGGCCCCAAGGGTGTGAGTCATTGATACCCTAAAACATTATTAAAACTGGACTAAGGGGGCGCCTGGGTGGCTCAGTGAGTTAAGCCTCTGCCTTCGGCTCAGGTCATAATCTCGGTCCTGGGATCAAGCCCCACATCGGGCTCTCTGTTCAGTGGGGAGCCTGCTTCCTCCTCTCTCTTTCTCTCTCTCTGCCTACTTGTGATCTCTCTGTCAAATTAATAAAAAAAAAAAAAAAGTCTTTAAAACTGGACTAAAGGGGCGCCTGAGTGGCTCAGTAGGTTAAAGCCTCTGCCTTCAGCTCAGGTCATGATCCCAAGGACCTGGGATCGAGCCCCACATCAGGCTCTCTGCTCTGCAGGGAGCCTGCTTCCTCCTCTCTCTCTCTGCCTGCCTCTCTGCCTACTTGTGATCACTCTCTCTCTGTCAAATAAATAAATAAAATCTTTAAAAAAAAAAACTGGACTAAAAACTCAGGGGAAATGGGAAAATAAGGAGAGAGGAATTAAGATGAAGTCATGGGTGAGATTACTATACAAAATGCCTGCAGTAATTGCCTGGCCAGTTACTAAAGGCAGACTACAAATTTAACTCCAGTCATCCCAGAAGTCATAGTAAAGAAGGGAAAACAAATATATTCAAAACCCTAAGTGCTGGGGCGCCTGGGTGGCTCAGTTGGTTGAGTGTCTGCCTTATGCCTGGGTCATGATCTCAGGGTCCTGGGATTGAGCCCGATGTCTGGTTCCCTGGTTAGCGGGGAGTCTGCTTCTTCCTCTGCATCCCCACCCCCCTCATTCTTTATCCTCTCAAATAAATAAAATTTAAAAATTTTAAGTGCCTTTGAGATTAAAAAATAAGTAGGTTGTTTAGGAGGCCATGTTTTCTTAGTTCTAAAAGTTGATTGCATTTTACAGATGTCTCTGATTGATCCCATAATAGCAAATTCTATTTGATTCTGAACAGATTCATAGAAGATCTTTGGTAGTCCTTGAACTCTCTGTGATGGGTTCCAAAATTATGCATATATGTACATGTACGTTTTCTTTCTTTTTTTTTTTTTTAAGATTTTATTTATTTATTTGACAGCTCACAATTAGAGAGAGGGAGGAGGAAGCAGTTTCCCTGCTGAACAGAGAGCCCAATGCGGGGCTTGATCCCAGGACACTGGGATCATGACCTGAGCTGAAGGCAGAGGCTTTAACCCACTGAGCCACCCAGGCGCCCTGAGGATCTGAAATTTTAATCAGATTCTTAAAGGGGTCAGTAGATTCCCAAAGGGAAGAGAACCTCTGAAACTTTTAGAGGAAAGGACAGATTGTTTATCTTTTAGACCACCCTTCATTGATTATCCTTCAATGATATTTTTGAAACTGAGGTTTTAATAACAAAAAAAACTAATAATTTTTAAAATGAGAAGCTGACCAAAAAAGACACTATTTCAACAAATTTATTCAGTTTCTAGCATTGTCCTATTCAGTTAGTAGCAGAAAAGATAGGAGTTTTTTAAAAAATTGTGTGTATATCATATATTGATTCTTTCATTGAATAGTTATTCAGTGAGCACACTTATTTTATACATCCACTCAGAGTTATTTAGGCTCATCTGTTGATTAATGTTAAGTTAATGATAACTGAAGTGATTTAAACATAGGTGCTTTTAATTTCAAGGTATTTTTGTTGCAGGAATATAAGAAAATTGTGAATTTGCTTTGATTTATTCTTGTCCAATTCTGTGCAATCACTTCTGATGTTCAGTTCAGAGGAATACAAGTAGAATTTAATATGGAGTGAATAGGACATTCTTGTTCCTCTATTGACTTACTGTATTTGAATGTAACCAAATTATAAATTCTGGGGTCCATAATGAGGGCAGAATATAGCAGGAAAAATCTGAATGGCTGTTTACCAAGGTCTCCCAGGATGACATTAGTTTGGTGATTATTAAAGTTAAGGGTGTGATTTTTTTTTTTAAGATTCATTTATTTCGGAGAGAAGAGCATGAGTGTGGGGGTGAGGGGCAGAGGGAGGAGAGAGAGAATCTCAAGCAGAATCCCCCCCTGAGCCCAGAGCCCACCGCAGGGCTTGATCTCAGGACCCTGAAGTCATGACCTGAACTTAAACTAGGAGTCAGAAGCATAACAGGACTGAGCCACCCAGGTGCCCCAAGGGTGTGATCTTAATATTAGTATTGCAGAGTTGATTAACATATTTTGGTCTATAAGAGTGCAAAACAAGAAAGCAAGCTGGGTGGTGGGGAGTGGGGGGGAACACATTCATTTTGGGTAACCAGGATGCTCAGATTATATACACCAAGATAACTGTTTTAGCAGGTGTGAAAAACAAAATCAGGCAGTTGCTTAGTAAATGAAGCAAATTGTTTTGAGAGAGCTCATTCAGGCAGTGGTGAGACCTGAAAAAATGATCCCCACCCCCCTCAGAGTATACCTGTTTTAAAACAGGAAAATTCATAACCCCCTGGATTTTGTGTGTCTGTTCCTTGGATAATGGTGCTGGGTAAAGATTAGCAGTTTTTTTTTTTTTTTTTTTTTTTAAAGTAGGCTTGACATCCAGCAAGGAGCTCAACACAGGGTCTAAACTTAGGACCCTGAGATCAAGACCTGAGATGAGATCAAGAGTCAGGCGCTCAATCCAATGAGCCCTGGCAATTCTCTTTCTGTAGACTGATCTTCACATAAAACTTTGTTTAAACAGCATACTAGGCATTGATTAGACGAAATTACATCCTCATTTTAATTAGGGGTTCAGAGTGTTTGTCAGCTCCTCAGTTACACATTCACTGGCAGTTTTAGGTCTGGTTCCCACAGCCAGCTAATTTATGAAGTATACATTTTACTAGCTTAATCCTCAGAAGTTGCCTTATTTTCAGCACTGTTGTTGCTGTTTATAAAAAGTTACTTCCTCAAAAAACTTTAAATGCTTTCAACTCAATCTAGTAAATATATACTAGTGTCAGCACTGTATTTTACCCTAGAAATATTTACTTGAGGGAAAAAAAGGGTTGAAGTTATACAACCCAGTGTTTCAGTTATTTGCCAAACACTTAAATTCCCTAAACCCATGGTGATAGTCACGCAACTCTGTAAATATACTAAAAATCACTGAATTGTACACAAAGAGACTGAATTGTATAGTATGTAAATTATCACTCAATAAAATTGTTTTTCAAAACGACTGGGAAAAATTATTTACAAAATCAGCAATATCACTCTCCAGTACCATTTCTCTTAAAGGCATTATTGGGGATAGGGAGTATTGGAGATTAATTTATCCTGAAATATGGCCTTCCAAATCTGGAAATTCTGTTTTCCTTATTCGTGTGTCAATCCCTACTGTCTTCCTTGGGGATAACTGTTATTTTTACTGGGTAAAGAGACTCAAAGATTAGGAGTACTTGAGTCTATGGGGTGCAGGAGTTCCCCCCAGGAGCAGCTGATTTGCATAACTCTGTTCTGTTGTTCTACTTATTTTAGTGCTAAATATTCTCTGAAAAAGGAAGAAATAGTATATATCTTTTTTATTTCATTTACATTTGTCTTCTCTCTAGCGAACTATATTGAGGGACAGATTTCTGCTGTAACTTCTTTATTACCAGTAAAATCTCTGTTAAAAATGAATATTATTGACAATTTACTGACTGCTTTTTGAAAGAGGTGGGCCGTTAGATGAGCAGAATGTTGTTTCTATGGAAACCTCATCCTGTTGCTACCAGTGGATAGACACAATGGGTACAAGGATTGCTTTCATTCCACAGTATAAAAATTATGGCCA